CCAGTTTTGATCATCAGGTATCTCTCTCATTCAGTGTTCTCTACTTGAGAAAGGCCATCAGTTTTCAAAGCCGTAAACATCAGGACACAGCCCATGCCATACAGAAGGAGTCCTTTAAGCCTGTGGGAAATTCAAGCTGCTGATCCTAATGCCACCTCTCCAGGTGCCAGGGCTAATGACAGTCAACACTCCAGATGGACTGGCCGAAGAAAAGAATGTTAGAGATGGCAAGCACATTAGAAGTTCATTAGTCCAATGCTTTCATATCACATGAGACCCAGAGAATGGCAGTGACTTACTTAAGGTCATGCAGTGATTTAGTGGCATTACAGGATGAAGAGCGCCAGTCTCCTGATTCCCAGTCCAGAGTTCTCTCCCCTACACCAGCCAGTGGTGCCCCCTTTTACCTTCACCCTTCTCCCCTCCATCACCCCTGACCCCTAGAAAAGGGAGAAGGGAGAACCTTCCTAAAAACAACAAAATTAAAGCCAATTCTTCTGAAACAGCTTTGGCCCTGAGAGTGGGCCCTGGCAGGGGAAGTGCCCTGACCCAGGGAACTTCATAAAGAGGCCCAGAAACAGGGAGAGAGGCAGCCTCAAGACATACAATCATCTCCCGCTCCTTCAGCTGTCCCCAGACTGTCACTCCTCATGGCTTCCCTATCACAGATCTCCTGACAGCTTAGTCAATAGTTACTCCATTTTTATTTTCACATGACATTACTGCCCTTCCCTTGACTGGCGGCTGACTCCACAGTCTTGGGCAGTTCTGGGAGCTGCAGGGCTTGTCAGGAGTCAGGACTAAGGCTAAGGAAGTAGGTCAAGAAATCTTAGAAACCCGGAACAGAATGCATAATTGGGCGTGTTTTGATTTGTTTCCTTTTAAAAAGGCAAATCTTTCATGAAATTGAACACTATAAAATTATAATGACCAAGCTTGGCCCCAGAGAAGTTGAGAAAAATGCTTCTTTCCTCTTTTTTTTGTAGAGGTGGGGGACTATGAGTGTGGAATATCATATACACTGTCAGACATGGTTGATACACTGTTTGGTTGTATACAACTGCTTTTTTTCTTTTTAGACTTTGTTATAAGGGGGTGGCTCACTGGTAGGGGTGTGGGGAATGATAGATTTGAAAGTAATAGTGGTGTAAAATCAAAATCAATAAAAATAAGATTAAATAAAATACAAATAAATAAATTTGTTGATTTTTTTTAAACAATGCTACTGCTTTCCGATGGTCCTACCCTTTCCCCCAATAGAAAGAAGTACAGCAAATCAAAATGAATCAATAGGGAAAATTGGCTATATTTACTGATATCCACACCTATCAGAGCCCATGTGTCTCTGTGGAGATGGAGGCATGGGCCACCATCAGGTCTCTGAGGTCATGATTGGTCTGTGGGGATCAGAGTTCTGAGGTCTCTCCCATTTGTTTCCCTTTACACTATCAGGGTCACCATGCAAACTGCTCTCCTAATTCTACTAACTTTGCTTGGCATGAGTTCATAACAGTCTTTACAAGATTCCCTGAAATCTCCATATTTGTCATTTTTATAATACAATGCTCCTTTAATTAAAAACATATTCTGCAGTTTGTTTAGGCATTTTCTACTTTATGAGCAGCTGCTTTCTTTCTACTTTTTATTGCCACAAAAAGTGCTACTATAAATGTGTGTGTGTGTATATTAAAAATGTTGTAGATCATTATATATTTATGTATAGGCAGATATATAGATGGATGGATGAATACATAGCTACAGATAGTAAGGGAGGCAGATAGGGAAAGAGAGAGATAACCAGATAGATAGACATATAGATGGATGGATGGATAAGTGGATGGATGGGTTGATGGATGGATGGATAGGACCTTTCCCTATGTCTCTGACCCACCCAGAGCATTGTTTCTTTTCCAAACATTACTTCCATTGTCTCTTTTTTTTGAAGCATGAAAGCCTCAGGGGCAGTGTTGTATAGAGGAAAGAGGGCTGAACTTTGGCTCAGAAGAGAATTGGATTCTGATCCTGGTTCTGCTGTTTACTACCTATATGATTTCAGGGAAGTCCTAATTCCTAAGGGCCTCATCTTCCTCATCTGTAAAATGAGTTATTTAGACTAGATGACCTTTGAGGTCCTTTCTAGCCCTCAAATTACAATCTAATTGTGGTTTTCTGGAGTCTCACTGTGGTTCTGGCCTGCTTAAGTGTTCCCATTCTTTCTTTTTTTTTAAGACAAGTTTTTTTTTCAATGATCAAGAATTTTTTCCCATCTCTCACCTTCCCCCATCCACTGAAAAGCAAGAAAGGAATACAGAACCCCTGTATCACATAAGCACAGTCATGCAAAACAAATTCCCATCCTGGCCACGTCCCAAAGTGCACATGTTATTCTGAAAGCTCCGTCTTGGTCAGTCCTCTGGAATCATGGTTCATCATCTAGTTGATCGGCGTTCTTAAGCCTTTGTTGGCACAATGAGCAGACAGCGACACAAAGGACAGAGTACTGGGCCTGGAGTCAGGAACACTTGCGTTCAAATCTGGTCTCAGACACTTATTGGCTGTGTGACCCTGGGCAAGTCACAACCTCTGCCTGCCTCAATTTTCTCATCTGGAAAATGGAGATAATAATAGCACCTACCTCCTAGGGCTGCACAGTGTCTGGCACAAAGTAAGCAATATGTAAATGTTAGCTGTCATCATCATCATCATCATCATCATTATGATTATGATTTTTATAGAAATTGTTTTCCTGGCTCGGTTCACTTTACTCTGCATCACTTCATACGTCTCCCCGTATTTCCTTGCAACTATCCTCCTTCAACATATCTTACAGCACAACAGCATTCCATCCCCTTCATATAATTTGTTTAGCCATTTCTCAGTTGATAAAAACCCCTTTAAGTTTCTAAATCTTTGCCATCATGAAAAGGGCTGCAATAAATACTTTTGTACATGAGTCCTTTTCTTCTTCCTTTGATCTCTTTGGGGCATAATTCCAAATCTCTTTACAGAATGATCAGACCAGTTTACATCTCTTGACCCAGTTCACAAGCCCCGGATGCTACAGTGTGGCCTTTGTAGCTTCAGTGGCTAAAAAAATCCATCACCTTTTAGCCAGGCTTCTGGTGTTAAGACTCCCTGATCTTAGCTGAATTAGTCCTCAGCCAACACACAGCCTGTCACTAGGCCCATACTTGAAGTTTCCTTCTCTATTCTGCTAGAGCCTTCCAGGGCTTTCAGAGTTATAGGTTTTTAAATCCCTTTATGCCTTTTCACTAGATGGAATCATATAATCATCATGCCAGAAAGGACCATCAAACTCAGTCCAGCCACAAAATTTCCAGACAAGAATCTATCCAAATAATAGTCAGCAAGCACTTTCTGTGCTAGACACCAACAGAGATGAAGTAAGGCCTGGTCCCTGCCCTCAAGGAGTATGTAATCTAATTAAATAGATAAGACAAATGGACTAAGAACCACAATATAATAATGGGATAAAATACCAACTCCTCAGACTTAAATGTCCTTTGATTTGTTTTTTCAGACAAACAAATGTGTATATACGCCCTCCCAAACTTGTACTTGAGAAGTTGAGTTTTGTGTGCCCAAATATAAGATTCTACATTTACCTATATTTCATTTCATCTTATTAAAGTTAGCCTGATGTTCTAGCTTGTCAAGTTGTTCTTGGATCCTGACTCAGTAATACAATGTGTTAAATAAAACTCTTGAGCTTAGGGTCATAAGACAACTTGGTGACTGTGTCCATTACTAACAATGTTGTATGGGGACAACCGCAGATTCCTAGGGCACTCCACTGGAGACCTCCTGCCACACTGACAGTGAACCATTAACAAGTACTCTCTGAGTCCATTCATCCAACCAGCTCTTAATCCACCTAATTATATGATCCAGTAGTGCCAAGCTCAGATACTGACTTAGAAAACCACAAATAGGTATCATCTGTGTTGTACTGTATTTTTCTTTATTTTGTTAAACATTTCCCAATGACATTTTAATCTGGCTCTGGGGCAGTCAAGCTGCCAATTGCCAATGCCCAGAGTTGGGCACCTCTGATCCAATCCATATCTCTCCTCCTTCCCCACAAGAATAGTGAGATACTTCATCAAAAAGTATGAAATACTTCATCAGATACTTTCTAAAATCTAGATAAATTACACTCACAGCATTACCCTCTTCTACCAACTTAGTGGGAATGATTTCAGGGGATTCCAGGTGACTTTCAGTCTTAGAGAGTGGGCTGGGGCACTGAGAGGTTAGGAGACTCACTCAGGGTCACACGGCCAACATGTGTCAGAGTCTTCCAGGCTCTGAGGACAGTTCTCTTACGCTATACTATGTGACCTCTTACAGTTTAGCAGCCCTCTCCAAAAAGAAAATAAGCTTTTTCTAGCATGGCCTGTTTTGATGAAGTAGTGATGGCTCTAAGTCACTTCTGTCTTTTCTACATGTTCACCAATCAGCTTTTTAGTGATCCACTCTAGATTTTTCCCAGCAATGGAAGTTAAGCTTCCTGGTCTAGAGGGGGCAGGCACTCTCCTTGGGCAACACTGTGTGTTGGCAGTAAGGAAAGGGGAGTGCCAAGTGGGCAGAGTTGAGTTAATGGAGGATTTTGGAGAACTCTAAGATGGGTGCCCTGTATCAGGAAAGGGCTGGGAGAATTTCTGTCAGTGACCTCTCCTAGGGCATCCCAGTCTCAAAGCCTGATTTTGTCAAGCACGAGAAGCTCCAAGGATGAAGTGAGACAAAGGATGATGAGGAGAAAACAAAACAAAACACCTCATAGAGCTTCAAATCTGAGATCCTAAAGTCACCAGGCCCAGATTGTCCTGGGAGAGCCCACACTCTCAAGATGTCTGTCAAGTGAAGCTGACTAGGTTGTATGCAGAACTAAAAAAAGATTCCCCAGGCAGGAGGGATAGCTGGCCCTTGAAGGATGCCCCTGTCCACCCCCTGCCAAGCTTTCTCAAAGAGATGCTCACCAATGTTGGAATGCTTCAGGAGACGGCAGATCCGGGCTTCTCTCTCCAGCTTCTGGTGATCTGAAGACAAAAACAGAGAAAGAGGCATCACCGTGAATCCAAGGGATATGACTATTAATGGCAGCAATTAAACATTTCTAGGCAGAGCCATAACTAGGCTGGAACAAGAAGGGCTTCTTCCACTGGGGAAAGAGGGGGCACTTCCTCTTCAAGGCAATTGCCATCCCTGCTCTTTACCTCATAGTCCTCTGCTGGTCCTGACTAGCAATTGCCCCCAGGTCACTATCCCCAGGGGGTAACACTGCCTTTACACTCCTCTCCAAAGGTTGGTGTCCCCCTACAGTCCCCACCTGAGCACACACTACTAACCCCTTCTGGCACAACCATCTCTGTGATGGGGCTGGCCTCCTTACCATTGTGCCCTGCCCTCCCTCCCATTCCTACTTGACTGAATTCATCCCTGATGTGTTTGGGCTAGTCAAGACCGTTTCCAGAACTCTTCTTATGCATCTACTACTTTCCTATTGTTCATTAGTCAACTTATGTGGAATGGAGGAGAACATGGAAACCTGAATGCATTCATAGCCAACTTTTGGGTGAGTATCTGTACTCCCAAAAGAATAGCATGGAGGATCCCAAAGTATTTAGCTTTGTAATGTGTTCTATGATCTTTTGGCAACACACAGAGTGAAAAGGATTGGATTCTAGTCCCTGCTCTTCTAAATTTACAGCACATGAATTTGGTCTGGAAGGAAGCCAACAACTCTAAAAGGCAGAGGTGAAGAAGGATACTCGGGAGGAGGGGACGGTCATTGTGACGACATGGAGACGGGAGATGGAGTGGAAATTTTGGTAAAGAATAAGCAGTTGGTCAGAAGGAAGAGTTTGTTTAGGGGAGTAATGTGGGTTAAGCCTGTAAAAAAAAGGCTACTAGCTAGATGGGGAAGAGGCTTTAAATGCCAGGCTGAGGAGTAAAGCGATCACTCTGTCTGAGCCTTCTGAACTCTCCAAGACATAAGTAATAGATGGTCCATGCATGGTCTGTGCCGGTGGAGAGAGTTTTCATAAGATAAAACTACAGGTTCTTGACTTATTAATAGAAGAAAAAAAATGAGGCTCAGAAAGATTAACTGACTTGCTCATAGTTATACAACTCTTAAGTATCAGAGGCAGGATTCAAATCCAGAGCTCTCCTTTTGGGTGAAAGTGAACATGGTGTCCAGGGGTGAGAACCTCGCTCTGGATGCTCTGGATCCTCCAAATGGACAACCCACATGTGATCATCCAGAGATGATGCCATTTATTTATCCATTCACTTTTCCTCACTTAAATCTTTTGCTAAAGTCAAATTAAGTCCCTCAACTATGAGATGTGATAGGAGTAATTTTATCTGTAACAACCCCTTATGGCTCTGGCACTCCGGCTGGATAAGACCTCCACACTATTTGCACAGTAGTTTCAGAAAGAAATTGAGAGGTCCTCTAGTCCAACCCTCTCATGCTAAAGATGGAGCACTATGTCCCAGACAAGGGATTTATCTGCCTAAGGACACACAGCTAATTGGGAAAGTAGGACATCAACCCAATCCAACAAACATATATATCATGCTTACTATGTACAAGGAACTAGGGAAATGAAAACAAAAGGAAAACCAGCCCCTGCCTTCTGGGAGGCTACATTCTCTGGGAGGGATATAGCATATGAATAGGTACATATGGTAGTTCTAGGAGGGAGGTCACAGGCACAAGAAGGAGCATCAGGAAAGACTCTCTCCAGCTTCCAGCTGGAGAAGATTCTGCAGAATCTTCTGGAGAGAAGACAGTACCTGAGTGAAGCCTTGTAGGAAACTAAGTCAATCAGTGAGTTAACATTTATTAAGTGCTTCCTATGAGCAAGGCACTGCTAAGCTCAGGGTAGACAATGTCCAAAGCACTCCAGGAGCTCACATTCTAATGAAGGAGATAATAAGTAGATGACTATGTACATACAAGATACATATATGTAGATATACAGAGTAAATGGAAAAAAAAATGTCAAAAGGGGAGAGGGAATTGACCAGAAAAGGCCTCCCATGGAAGGCAGGAAGTGAGCTGAGTCATCAGGGAAGCCAAAAGGCAGAAGAGGAAAAACATTCCAGAAATGGAAGACAACCATTGCAAAGACATGAAGTCAGGAGGTGGGGTACTGTCTTTAAGCAGCAGCAAGAAGGCCAGTATGGCCAGCTCATCTGTGGAGGGGAGTAAAGTGTTAACCAGACTAGAAAGGTAGGAAGAGCTATAAGAGCCAGACATAGATTTAATATTTGATCCTGGAGGTAATAGGGAGGCATTGGAATCAGGATGTTATCAAGCAGGGGACGGTGTGGTCAGATCTGTGCTTTTGGAAAATCATTTTGGCAGTTGAAAGGGGACAGATGAGATTGTAGAAACTTGAGGCAAGGATACCAATGAAGAGGTAATAAGGCCTGTCTAAGGGTAGGAGTAGAAGTAGAAAGGGCATCTTCTCAGGAACAATAATGCATTCTGGTGCATTCTGGTGCTGAGTTTGAGATGCCTGCAGGATATACAACTCAAAATATCCAAAAGGCAGTTGGTACAGAACTATAGCTCAAGAAAGAGATTAGGGCTAGAAATAGAAATCTGGGAACCATCTTTGTAGAAAGAGATGATAAATGAAACCAGAGAAGCTGACGATACCATCAAGAGAAGCAGCATAGACATAGAAGAGAGAAGCGGGCCAAGGACAGACCCTTCAGGGACACCCACAGTTAGTGTGTGGCCTCCTCTAAAAGAGACTAAGGAGACATCAAACAGGTAGGAGGAAGGCCAGGATGAAGACAGCAGAATCATGAAAACCTGGAGAGGACAGAGTATCCAAGAGGAAGGAGATGTGATCAAGTGTCAAAGGTTAAAGAAAGGTCAAAAAAGGATGGGGATTGGGGAAAAAAAAGGTCATTAGACATGATAATTAAAAGAAAATTGTGGTAGAGTTGAGGGAATGCATTCTAAGCAAGGTGGATAGCCTGTTCAAAGATAACAGGTGAGAGATGAAGAATCACGTTCAAGGATTAACCAAACAGGCTCATGTGGCCAGACTGCATGAAGGGGAACATGAAATAAATCTGGCAAAGCCCTTTCACATTATTCAAACTGAAATGTCTCCTGACACCCCATTCCACTACACTACAGGAGGACCACATTAGATCGGTCCTTAGCCACCTGTGGTGCCATTGCTTGTGGGGACAACAGCTGACCCATGGCCTAGTCAAACCTTTGTGCTAGAAAATTACATTCTTGAGCTTCCGCAGTATTGGCATCCTGCTCTCACAAGGAGGAAAACCAAATCCAAAAGAAGTGGGAACTTGCCCAGGGCAAGAGAGCAAATCAGCAGTTTAGCTAGAAATAAACCCCAGGAGTCTTGAATACAGACGCCCACTCACGCCACTTGCTGCCTGGTACATGGAAACTCATCTGCCTGACTCTCAATAGAAAAGCATCCCCCAAACAGGAGGTGCTGAAAAAAAAAGATGGAACCCCACTGTACTCTGGGGCCGAACCCGCATCCCTGTCACATGGAGAGTCCTGATTCTTCCTTCTCTTCTCACATGCCAGCCACAAATGCCTTGGATTTTGGAGGCACTATTCAGCCTGAGCCAGCTCCCAAAAAGGAGTCAACCTGCTACAAGCTCTGTGTCCTAGGAGAGCCTTGCCATCATTAAGGCATCACACAAGAATTTCAGCTTCAAACACTACCCCATGACCAGCAAATTCCTATACCCAGCGTTCCCTTAATGCTGCATTCATCAAAGTAAAACCAGCAAGGAATTAAGGGCTGAATAAAAGAATGTGATGCCAGATGCAGCATCCCATGGCCTCTAGGATAGACTCGAATGGATCTTGTCTCATGCATTCAGAAGTTCCCTCCCCAGTGCGTAGTGTAGCCCATCTTGTGCCGCTCTTGTCCACGTCTTTCCATAATTTACTGCCCAACGTTCTGGGGACCTTCCTCACTTTGTCCTGAAATCTCCAGGATACCAGCAGAGCACTTTGGCTGTCCACACATCATACGCTGCCACTGTGACCAGCCCTGCTTCTCTTTCTATCACACATTTCCTTAATGACAGCTGTTACTACAATAATAATATTAACAACAGCAACAACAACAAGTAACTGCTATTTACACAATGCTTTAAAGACTGCAGAGAGTTTTACAAACATTACCTCAAACACAAACTCCTCAATAGGGCATTCAAGGCACTCTACAATCTGGTTTCAATCTTCCTTTTCAGCTTTATTGCCTCTTACTTCCCTTCATGCCCTCCATTCTAGCCAAACTGGTCTATTAACCATTTCCTGATCTAGAAATTCTATCTCCCACCTCCACAGATTTGCACAAGCCATATCCCATGCCTGGAACGCACTTTCTCCTCTCTACTTCTCAGAGTCCTTCAAGGTTCAGATCAGATGCCGCCTTCTCTGTGAAGCTTTCTCTGATTGCTTCCCTCCCAGGTTGTGCTGTCTCCTTCCTCAATTTTCCTCGTGCTATTTTTATTTGTGTACATGTTGTCTCCTTCTAGTACCAGGGTCCAGGGGTAGATTTCAAGGGTTTCATGAATGTGGGTGGGGAAAAAATTACATCTTCATTTTCATTCAAATGCAACCAAAATTTAGCATTTCCTTCAATTATGACTTTAAAAAAAATATGATCCTGAGAGAGTCCATAGGTATCACCAGACTGCCAAAAAGGATCCATTCCATAAAAAAGGTTAAGGACCCCTGCCCTAGTAAAATGTAAGCACCTTGGGTGATGGAGGGGACTGTTGGGTTTTTGTCACTGTAGATTCAGAACAGAGGCAGACTGGCACATATATTGATAATGAGCCATCCTTCTCCTCTCAGTGTCTGGAGCCACTCTCACAAACTCTTAAGGTGCCCAGCAGTCTCTAGTTGGCATTATTAGAGGGTGATTTTTCTTGGGAGCTCCCCATTTTTTAAAAATTCCCAGTCCTTATAGCACAGTGCCTTCCTAATGACAGAATGTTTGTTCAACAAAACGCTGTT